CGAGTTTTATAAAACGATCTTCGAGTTTTATAAAACGATCTCTCGAGTTTTATAAAACGATCTTCGAGTTTTATAAAACGATCTCTCGAGTTTTATAAAACGATTCTCAAGTTTTATAAAATGATTCTCGAGTTTTATAAAACGATTCTCTAGTTTTATAAAATGATTCTCGAGATTCATAAAACTGTTGCGTTTACGCATTTGCGGGGAATTTTGGCTATTGATTCCGTCGTACCGATTTTGACCCCAACAATCTTGGTTTTCTTCTTGGAGAAGATGGTTTTCGACTTCGAGTGCCCCTACCTTTTCCGCGCTTCGCTGCAGCTGTTGGGTGTGCTCGTCGAGTTTTGCTTTTAGAGATTGAACTTCTTGGAGAAGTTCGGAGCTATCGCTGGCTATTTCTCGAGTCTTACGGAGCTCGGTGATTTCTCCTTGAAGGGTATCGAGCTGGTTGAGGAGCTCGTCTTCTCACGGGGTAGCTCCGGTTTGTTTGGTTGATTCTTCTAGTGTCATCGTCACGTAGTTGATACTCCCCTCCTTCTAGTGCCAAGCTGTTATGGTATTTTTGTATTGGTCGTTTTAGTACTACGGAACACAAGAAGGTTTGTAAGAGGCAAGGAGAAATCAAAAAGAAACGAGTAGATAAGGAGACATTTATTGAATGAATTGAATAGGGACTACAATGTTTGGTGTATAAACCCTAATTCTATCTGCCTAGATCTAGTCTCTCAATCTCTAAAGTTTTCATCCTTTATTCTAGGGTTTAGGTTGCCGTTTTATAGGTGTAGATGTCGGCTTGCATTAGATTAAACTCTTCCATATTAGCGAATATGGAAGAATTCCCTTAAGTGGTGAACTTCCAATCCAAGGGTCGGGCCCGGGGACCTTGGATGCAGGGTCCGGTCCCTGAATCCCTTCGGAGCAGGGGTCTAGAGGCCGGTTCCCAGCCCGGAGGCTGGAGGAATCTGGTGCCAGGATTATTTTTCCCAGCAGGCATGGCCTTGCCGGTTAAAGTCTCGAGGTGGAAAACGCCTGGTTTGACAACCTTGGTGATCTTGTAGGGACCTTCCAAATTGGCTCCGAGTTTACCTGCTTTCCATTCTTTGGTGCTTTCGAAGACTTTGTGTAAGATAAGATTTCCTAGCTCGAGAGGTCGCGTTGCTGTAGTTTTCAATTTGGTGTTGATAGTTTTGGATACGAAGGATAGCTTGGTCACGGTTTTCCTCGATCCGTCGAGTGCGTTGAGAAGCATGTCGCGGTTGAGTTTAATATTTTGGGGCATCCTTGATTGTCGTAGGCTGGTGACGTTGACTTCTGCCGGTGCCATTGCTTCGACTCCGTAAGCCAAAGAATATGGTGTGACTTTAGTTGCTCCCCTTGGCGTCATTCGGTGTAACCACAAAACTCCATCTAGTTCGTCGGCCCAACAACCCTTCTCTAGGTCGAGTAGCTTTTTTTTGCCGTCAATGATCCTTTTGCTTGAGGACTCGGCTTGACCATTTCTCTGTGGGTATATTGGACTGGACATGTTAAGTTGGATCCTCCACTTGTCGCAGAACTCGCGGAATTTATGGGAGATAAAATGGGAACCTTTACTGGTGACGATCTCGTATGGAAGCCCGTTGCGACAGATGATGTGCTTCCACACAAACTTCTAAATTTCTTTATTGGTACTGCTGGCGTAGGACTCTGCCTTGATCCAATTCGTGAAATAGTCGGTTAGGATCAGGATGTAACATTTTTGTCGTGAATTCGGCATTTTTCTTATTACGTTCATTGCCTATCTCATAAAGGGGTACAAAGCTGTCAACGTTCGCAGCGTTTCTGTCGGGTAGTGGATGGTTGATGCGTGCCGTTGGCATTTGTTGCACTGTCGAGCGTATGACTTGCAGTCTGGTGTCATTGTTGGCCAGTAGAAGCACAGGCTTTTGACCTTCAGGGCTAGAGCACGTCCTCTAGAGTGATTACTAGATGTACCTTCGTGGGTCTCGGCCATGACGAGGTATGTTTCTTCGTCGTGAACTCACTTAAGAAAGACTTTCGTAGCGGTCCATCGGTGCAAGAAACTGTCAATGATGAAATAATAGGCACTACAAGCTTTTAATCATCGCACGTCCCATTTCTCGGGGGGGGGGGACAGCCTTCCATTAGCAAGGAACTCAATAAATTATGTCTGCTAGTCTGTTTTGGCATTGTGGTCTGTTCTGAAGTCTGTCCATGCTCTATTTCTGGTGCATGGGCGATAGGGGCGACTAACGATGGTTTCTTGGTAGAAAGATTGATGCTTGGTTTGTCGATTTGGTGGATTGGAATCGTCCGTTTGACTTGATCGCGAAGATTACTTCCTAGTGCCGCGAGGGCGTCGGCGCATACATTTTCTCCTCGGGGGACTTCCGTGAGTTGGAAGAACTCAAACTCCTTGGTGAGGTCTAGCACCAGTTTTAGGTAGGCGTTCATGCGGTCATTGCGAGTGTCGTAGTCTTCGCTGAACTGACTTGTGACAAGTTGAGAATCGCAGTAGGCGCTTAATCCCTTTGCCTTGGCGGATTTCGCCAAACAGAATCAGCAATAAGATAATCGTATTTTGCTTCGTTGTCAGAGGCGGCAAAACTGAATTGGAACGACTGTCTGATCAATTCACCGGTTGGGGATTGCAATTGGAACCCGGCCCCTGATCCTTTGTTCGTGGATGATTTGTCGACGGGAAAAATCCAATATTGACTTTACATGACAAGATCCTGCTCGAGTTCGGGAGGTAGTTTGATCATGAAGTCAGCTAGGACCTGCGACTTAGCCATTGTGCGGTCTTGAAAGACTATGCCGTTCTCGCTGAACTTGATTGCCCACTTAGATAACCGTCCTGATTGGTTTGTATTGTACATTACCTTCTGAGGGGCTGATCGGTCATTACTTCGAATGGATGGGATTTAAAATAGGGCCAGAGCTTTCTCGCTGAAGTGATGACAGTGAAAGCCATATTTTCGAGGGTCGAGTAATGTGTCTCCAGATCTTTCATGTGTTGGCTTGTGGAATATTGGCTTTTACTCGCCGCGATCTTCTTTAATAAGGACGCTGCTGACTGCAATCGAGGAGACTGCGATTTACAAGTAGAGCGTGTATTCGGCTTCAGGTTTGACCAAAACCGGAGGGGTGGTGAGGTAGACCGTTAGTTGGCCGAAGGCTTCCTTGCACTTTTCGTCCTACGTGAACCGCTTGTTACCGCACAGAAGTTCGTAAAATGGGAGGCACTTGTTAGTAGATCAGGAGATAAAGCGGTTGATCGTGGGAATTTGGCATGTTAGCCGCTAGACCTCTAGGCTGTTTTTTCGGGCTGGGAAGGTTCAGGATATCAGAGATCTGCTTGGGGTTGTCTTTGATTCCTCGCTGCATTACTATGTAACCGAGGAATTCTCCCGATGTGAGACCAAAGGTACATTTTCCGGGTTGAGTTGCATCCCGTACTCGTTTATAGTTTTGAAGAACGAGCGTAAATGGTTTGGGTGGTCCTCCGCGCGATGTGACTTGACCAGCATGTCGCCAATGTATACTTCCATTGTTTTCCCAAGTTTTTCCGCGAACATTTGATTAACGAGACGTTTGTAAGTCGCTCCAACGTTCTTTAGGCCAAAAAGGTATGACTTTGTAACAGTAGGTTCCGCTGTCGGTTATGAATGCAGTTTTCTCGCGGTCATCGGGGTGCATCGTGATTTGATTGTAGCCCGAGAATGCGTCCATGAAGGTGAGGAGTTCATTATCGGCAGTCGATTCGACAAGACAATCGATATGCGGGAGGGGAAAGCTATCTTTCGGACATGCCTTATTGAGGTTCGTAAAGTTGACGCAGATGCACCATTAACCTTTCTTCTTTTTCACAACGAATGGGTTAGCTAACCACTCTAGATATCGTACTTTGGTGATTGATCCGGCTGCGAGTAAATGTTCGACCTCGTTGTTGGCTGCTTTTGACCGTTCAGGTCCAAGCTTCCGTCGTTTTTGCTAGATAAGTTTGAAGGTGGGATCAACGTTTAACTTGTGAGAGGTGATCTTTTGGGTATATGCCCTTCATGTCAGAAGTGGTCCATGAGAAAGTCGAGGCGTTTTCTTTGAGGAAAGAAATGGTTGTTTATTGCATTTCGTCGAAAATAAAAGCAGCAACTCGTACAACCTTGGTGGGATCGTTTTCGTCGATTTGGACTTTAAGGACCTCTTCTTTTTGTGGATATATCTTGTCAATCGGTTTGGAAACTTCGTTCACTCGTTGGATTATTTTCTGAAGTTTGACGTTGGTGATGAAAAGGCTGCGTGCGGCTTGGTGGTCTCCACAAAGTGTTTTAATACGTCCGTCAATGCCCGGGAACTTGACGCATTGATGGTAAGTCGATGAGATTGCATGCCATGGCGTTCCGTGTATAACATGGTAAGGGGCATCGGTGGCGATGACGGAAAACTTGATTGTTCAGGTGATTCTTCCTGCGTAAATCGATAGTTGGATTGTGCCGATCATTTTCTCTGAAACTCCGTTGAAACCAGTTAATGATCAGTTGAAACCAGTTAATGATCAGTTTAAACCAAGGATATTAAGATCATTTGGTCTATTAATAAAAGTTATATTTTTGATTTTCAGTATGAAAGACTAATTTTGTGATGAAAATTTTTAAAAATACTATTAAAGAGAATTGCCCTAAGGTAAATATGAAAAAAATACTGAGAAAGTGTTAGTTTTTACAATTTCTCAAATAAAAACATATTGTGTACTGTTGGGCGACATCAGAAGTTTGAATCCGATTTCTTCCATCCAAACCTAAACAGTAAGTGGTATTTCTTCCATCCAAACCTAAACAGTAAACCAAACCGATCATGAAATTTGAATCCGATTTTGACTAACCAAACCCAAATCGACAATATCGCATCGCCGAATCTTTCACCCTAGTAGCTGCTTAACTCAATTCAAAAACCAGTTCTCGCACTCGCTTCTTCTCCAGAAAAAACCCTAAACCACTTTCTCGCTCTCTGAAAAACTGTGGACATGTTCTCTCCACTGACGAAGAGACCCAAGCAAAGCTCTCGCAATGACAGAACTCCGCGCCATCGAGTGGCTCCGCCGGATTCTCCAGCAACTCCGACAACTCACCATCGCGAATCAGCTCAGCGAGACAGTTTCATCTCAGATCGTCCCGCCACTGGAACTCCTGCACCTTGGGCTCCTCGTTTGTCTGTTCTAGCTAGGTACTTTGATTCCCTATTTGCTTACATTTCTAACTTCTATCGTCTCGGATCTTGTATTAATATCACTGTTCATCTTCGTTGTTTTGCTTAAGAGTTTCTCCTATCAACAATGGTGAAAAAGGAGATGATACAAACCAATTAAAGCCTGTGTTCGTTGGAGAGTTCCCGCAGTTGGTTCGAGATGAACTAACATGCTTCTCGAGGAATAATAGTCCTCCTGGTTAGTACCCTTTGCATTTGATAAATACAGTTTTCTTCGAAGAGAGACTATGTTCTTAGTGTTTCTTTATTCTTCTCCAGGGGATGTAAATGTATCTGGTGGAATGGACAAAGAAACCTGCCTTTCTTGGTTTATAATTGGGACTAAACTTTTTGTTTGGAGTCACATGACAACCGTACCATCAAGAAAATGTGTTGTTCTTCAACTTCCTTTGGTCAATGAAGAATCTGCTAGTGCTTTACAAGATGGTAAAACCTGGTTGGTTAGCGTTGTCTCTTGGGATACGTCCGCTGGTGCAGCAAGCAGGGCCGCTCTATCTCGTTTCCCTGTTGGTATTGTGATGGTTCACAGAATAACTAGAGGTGTTGTATACTGGTCAGATGTCTTTTCTGGTCAGGAAGTTGCACCTGTTACCAATCTCGGCTCTTCTGACGGAACTGGTTTGTATAGTTCACCCAAGGTTAGAAAGAGCCCGCGACTAAGTAAGATAAGAAGCAATAGATCAGGATATAGTGAGCTTAGTTCTTTGATTACTACCCCGATTGCTGCAGCAGAGCGCCTTTGTATCGCGATGGCATGCAGCTCCAATGGTGAGCTATGGAAATTTACTTGCAGCCCTACCGGCGTTAAAAGTAATCAAGTACACTTGGACGTCAGCTCTTCCTCCATGAGTGAGGGTTTTCCAAGGTCCCTGGTCTGGCAGTTTTCCCAGGGATTGTCAAGACAGTCTTGCTGTCAATTTTTCATGTTAACTGATAGCGACATACATTGTTTTACAATTGAACCTGATCTAACTGTTTTAGAAGTCTGGCGTCATGAGATTGTTGGCAGTGATGGTGATTCCAGTATCAAGAAAGATATAGCAAGTCAAAAGCAAATCTGGCCTCTAGATTTGCAGGTGGATGATCACGGTCAAGTGATTACTGTTCTTGTTGCTACTATCTGTATGGACCGTGCCAGCAGTTCAAGCTATACACAATATTCGCTTTTAACCCTCAAACACAAATCTGAGATGAAATTTTCAGATGGGAGAGAGGAAAGGGTTCTTGAAAAACAGGGTCCAATTCAAGTTATTATCCCAAAAGCAAGAGTGGAGGATAAAGATGTTTTGTTCTCTATGAAACTCAGAGTTGGTGGTAGACCCCAAGGGTCAGCGATAATCCTTTCAGGTGATGGAACAGCCACAGTCTGCTACTGTCACGGTAATTCTACCAGGCTATATAAGTTTGATTTACCTTATGATGCTGGCAAGGTCTTGGATGCTTCGGTTCTCTCCTCAGATGATGAACAAGAATGTGGTGCATGGACTGTGCTAACTGAGAAAGCTGGAGTGTGGGCCATACCGGAGAAAGCTGTCGTGCTTGGTGGAGTTAAACCTCCAGAGCGAAGTTTATCACGCAAAGGGAGTTCCAATGAGAGATCACCAGATGAGACAAGGAGCACGCCATATGGTGTTGCTAGAACTGCTTCTAGAATGGATGATTCTGATTTCCTAAATAGCAATGACAAAGGAAATGCTAAAATGGGAGTTTTTCTTCCAACAGCCCGTGATGAAGAGTCAGAAGCTTTGCTTGGTCAGCTCTTTGAGGCGTTTCTGTTATCTGGGAAAGTTGATGGTTCGTTGGAGAAGCTTAGTCAGTCTGGTGCATTTGATAGAGATGGAGAGACCAATGTTTTTGCTCGCAAAAGCAAATCTATAGTTGACACATTAGCTAAGCATTGGACAACAACTAGAGGGGCTGAGATCGTAGCTATGACTGTTATATCTGCACAGTTGGTGGAGAAACAACAGAAGCATTTGAAATTTCTACAATTTCTTGCTCTATCCAAATGCCATGAGGAGTTGTGTTCTAAACAGAGTAATTGCTTTAATCTCTCACTGTTTTCATGAAACAACTGTAGCATGATTCTGATTCATCTCTTTTAGTTCCACGTTTTAATGCTTGAAGATTTATCACTACATTACAAGTAATTTGTTCCCCAAAATCAAATAGGTAGTTCATTTTTTTATGTATACACTGGAGCTGTTATTTAGTCTGATTGGCATAAAGACTGACTGCTAAGCTAACGCATCTCTCTTATGGCAGGAAATCCTTTGCAAATAATTCTGGAAAATGGTGAAAAACTTGCTGCAATGATTCAGCTCCGAGAACTGCAAACACTGATAAACCAGAGCCGCTCAGGCAGATTTGGATCGCCAAACGCTGCCTCAGAGGATCAAGTTTCGTGTGCTCTTTGGGATCTTATTCAATTTGTAGGGGAGAGAGCCCGACGAAATACAGTTCTGTTGATGGACAGAGATAATGCTGAAGTTTTCTACAGTAAGGTATCTGAAATTGAGGAAGTATTTCATTGCCTGAACAGACAGCTAGAATACATAATCAGAGCTGAACAACCACTGGGAATTCAAGTTCAGAGAGCCTGCGAACTGTCAAACGCAAGTGTTACAATTCTTCGGACTGCCTTGGATTACAAAAATGAGCATCAGATGTGGTATCCACCACTTGAAGGTTTAATACCTTGGCACTCTCAGCCTGTTGTGTGTGATGGGCTGTGGTGCATGGCATCCTTTATGCTTCGTCTGTTAACTGAGGGATCTAGGATTGATATCTCTGCTAAATCCGATGTATACATGCATCTCGAAATGCTTACTGAAGTTTTACTAGAGGCTTGTGCTGGTTCTGCCAATGCTAAACTGGAACAAGATAAAGAAAACAAAGCTTTGCTTGATGAGTATTGGACTCGGCGGGATACAATTTTCGACTGTCTTTATCAACAGGCCAAAGAGTTTATGGAAGCAGATTTCCAGGTTAGTAAGTTCTTCGCATCTAGTGCACTGGATATTGTTTTTGTGTTTAATAACACCATGAATGCATGAACTGGTTTTGTATTTGTAGGGCGTCAAAGAAAGAACTGATATGACAGATGAAGATATCTTTAGTAACCGATGTTCAGATTTGCTTTCAGTTGCTAAGCGACATGCAGGCTATAAAATTATGTGGAAGATATGTTATGATCTCAATGATACAGGGCTACTCAAAAACTTGATGGTATGAGCTTTGGCCACTTCTTTCCATGTTCCTAGTAATCGGAAAACCATAATGTTTCATGTCGATTATTTGTTTTCTAATATGCTGTTGAGGTTGCTTGGTAGAAAATTGTTACACGTTGGGGTATCTTTCACTCTTGTTTAGCGCGTCCTTTATCTTGATTGTCTTACTTTTTTTCTATGTTACTGCTTTGTATTAACCCTTTGAACTGATGTGCAGCACGAGGGTGTGGGACCACAAGGAGGTTTCAGTTACTTCGTGTTCCAGCAACTTTATGACATGAAACAGTTCTCTAAGCTTTTACGGCTTGGAGAAGAATTTCAGGACGAGCTGTTGATATTTTTAAAGCGCCACTCTGATCTGATGTGGCTTCATCAGGTGTTTCTTCATCAGTTCTCATCTGCCTCTGACACTCTTCATGCATTGGCTTTAGCACAAGATGAAGAGTCTATGAAAGCAATCGAAGAAGGAAGGGTGTCAGAAACTGAAGATTTACAACCAACATTTGCGGACCGCAAGCGGTTTTTGAACCTTTCAAAGATAGCCTATGTAGCAGGTATTAGAGAATATTTTCGTTGGTGTTATTGACTCATTTTGTTCTGTATTTCATCATAAATATCACGTTTCAGATAAGGATGCTGATTCCAAATCGAAGATGAAGCGCATTGAAGCTGACCTCAAATTACTGAAGCTGCAGGTTAAGATATTTCCTCATGTGAATATATCATCATGACGGTAAATTCATCTGTGTAGATATTGATTATAACTAGTGAAACCGTAACTTTTTGCAGGAAGAAATAACAAAATGTCTTCCAAGCGATGAAAACAGAAACCAACTGTTCCGACCAGAAGAGCTCATTGAAATTTGTCTAAGTATACAGGGCCGATGGACAGCTATAAAGGCTTTCGAGGTGTTTGCATGGACGAGCTGTTCGTTCCGTGAGAATCATAAGAGTCTCTTGGAAGAATGCTGGAGAAATGCCGCAGATCAAGATGACTGGGACAGGCTCCATCAAGCCTCTACTAACGAAGGTTGGAGTGACAAAGAAACGTTACTGAATCTAAAGAACACAGCTCTTTTCCAAGCTTCCAAAAGGTGTTATGGACCAAACCGAGCCAACGATCTTGATGGGGACTTTGCACAGGTCCTTTCACTGAGACGAGAGAACGCTGAGGATAAAACTTCTTCTGTAGAGGACGTGTTGATAAGCCACAAAGATTTCGCTGAGGCGGGGAAACTAATGCTAACTGCAATCATGCTCGGTTGTGTAGAAGAAGAAGGTATCGAAGCAGAAGATCTCGCATCTCCAATGGAGTGAATGGTGTTGAGGGGATTGCTTTTTGCATTGCACCTCTGACGGTTTTATGAGTTACTTAATTGGACTGGGTTTGTGTAACAAGAGTTTAACTATGTTTTTTTAAAACACGAAGTAGACCATTCGGTGAAACCATGTTCGGTCCAGCTTATCTATAAACCAATTCGTACCAAACCAAAACTTATCCGTGAACTGTTCAAACCAATTAAATCTTATTTTGTAAATTACTGTTGGGGTAAATCTCTCAAATAACATTCTTTTAAGTTTTTATCACCAAAATATATCTCAAAAATTAAAATGATCAAAATAACATTTTTATTTTGAAAATTTTAAATTTTTTTTTAAATTTTTTTAAATTCAAAATTTTATCTCCAAAACCCCATTCTTAACTATAAATAAAAAATCTAAAATTAGTTAACCCAAATGGTATAAATATATATTTAATAAAATATTTCAGTGTTATTTTAATCATTCTAATTATTAAGGTCTATATTTGTGATAAAAACTTTTTTAGGTCTATTTTAATCATTTTCTCTTACTGTTTTGTACAGAAATGCTTTTTATTTCGAACAGAAACGAGTGATAGTGTTTAAGTATATCGTTACAAGGCACAATTTATAGAAGAAACGCTAAAAACATTAGAAACAGCCGGATCATCTTTTTTTTTTTGTAACATTTAACTTTATTAATTTCAAATCACACATTACATAAGCATAAATTACAAAAAATATGTTGTTTATAAGAACTTTTAACAGAGATAACAATCATATGATGCTTCCTAATGCATCTGTAGGATATGCTGATTTGCTAGTTTTTTTATTTTATTTCGTAAGAATTTTTTGTGGCTCTCAATTCTTTTGTGTAAATACCATTTTCTCTAAAATTATCATAGGAGACGATCCATCTGTTACATCGTAATCCGTATCAAACACTCCCAGCGCAGAAGATAACATGTGTTGATGTTATACTTACTATCCATGATGTTTATACTTACTATCCATGATGTACATATTTCCTAGTTTGAAATTGATAATTACACAAACTTCTGAGTCTCCTTACGGTTTCTTCTGATCTGTCTTTGTGACTATGATTGTTGTTTTGTAACCTCACTTACCATTGACAAAAAAAATAAAAATAAACAGAACTTCTTGGCCATGCGGAATGATAATATCTTGGGCTTGACTCCTTCAACCATCTGAATCATACTTATGTAGACGATGTTGGTGCGTAATTGCAGAACCACATCATCAGATATAACTGAATCTATCCCACTGCGCATTAACCCCCACTTCCATAAAACTTTGGCACAAGTCGTATCATATCGAGACCATATGTTGCGATGTTAGACACCTATTTTTAACCAGAAAATCTTGTAACACCCAAAGAATTTCTAAGAGGGTAACACAACTTTGCAAAAGCAAAGACAATACGCTAATCAACGAACATCGCCAAGAAGATTTTCTGGATACAACTCCATCGAAGAAAAAATCAAAACAACGCTCATATGCCTCTTTAACCACCAGAAGTTCATGCTCAGAGAGAAACACGCACATAAGGAGAAAAGGAACGTAACAATCAATCCATCAAACTCCAATGAATTGCTCTCCAAGTTCCTAAGACCCGGATGTAGAAACAAAAGGATATCACTTTCCGACATCGTAGATGACATCAGTAAGTGAGTGATATATATAGGATGAGAATCGATTGGTAGTTGTTAAGATCAAACGATTGGGTTTACCTCAAATCATCGCACTTGATGCCGAAATCAGCATCAAGCAGTTTATTATCTACTGTAATAAAAGGAAAAACAAAAGAAACAGATAAAATGCGGCGGCCGGAGCGACCGGAATCGCAGAAATCCGGTGAAAAAAAGTTTCAGAAACGGTTGATGGAAAATCGCCTTTGGCTTCGCTCGGAATTCTTTATTTTCTCAAAAATAAATTTACATAACAACCTACCTTTTTATTTCTTGATTTTTTTTTCCTTCTTTTTGAAAACAAAAGTCTATGTAATCATGCCAGAATAAAACAACCAATAAAACAAATCTCTCTATGGAAAGATTTAGTAGTCTTACCTAACAAGTCAGAAATCTGATTATGCTCCCATGGAACATGGGTGATCTTGAAGTCTGGAAGCATATTTTCAGAGTTTATATCCTTTTTAATTCTGCTGCAAAGCTTGGCCAGGAATGAGGATCCTTAATCATGGCGATCAGGTCCTTACAATCTATCCCAAAACTCTGGCATGTTGAATATTGAAGCATATTCTCCATCGTCCATCGCAGTGCTTCTACTTCTGAATGCAAGGTTGATTCCGTCTAAACCCATCAGTTGAACCTTCTCAACGTTATCCATCCAAACCCATCCACTCCCACTAAACCTTGCTATTGATGTCCATGATCCATCAATCATACAGATATTACCCAAGCGTGTGACTTGAGATTCCTCGGTACTGTGGGCTTGTAACATTGATGACACCGTCTCATTCGTATTAAACCAAGCTTGGCATTCACTCTCTACATAATAAACTAAGTCCAATGGATCTCTGTCAATCCTCCTGAAAAGTTTGTCATTATGTTCCTTCCATATGTAACAGAATATCAAGGGAGAAAGATCCCTGTCTAGTTCTAGTTTATCGAAGATGTTCTTTTCCAGAACATATAATCCATATTCGAATAAATACTGGGAACTGGGAAGATATTTGGACTTGTTGGAGGCGCTGAAAGAGACCACACTTGTAGAGCCGAGGGGTAATAAAAAATGGCATGGTTTACAGATTCTTCTGGTTCTCCACATCTTGGAAAATAGTTATCACACCACATGTTGCGGCATACCAATTTTTTCGTTACAGCCATATGACCTGTTATCAACTGCCATATAAGATGACATATCTTCTTTGGCTCTTTAACTGGTGCGGTCATGATACAGAAGAACAATCAAGAACAATAACAAGGAACCGGCTTGGCTGAGATACATGAGCTGATGGATGAGCTAGAGCAAGTGGAACCAATGCAGCCGATTGGACAAGTGGAGAAGATGAGCTGAACCAAAATGCATCTTTACATGACTCTAAGCTCGTGGATCAGAGTGAAGACTCAACTTGGCTTGAAGAGCACTCTGATCAAGAGGAACAACACGAGGATCAGCTTCAGCAAAGAGGTGAACGTAGCAATCCAGACCAGAACACATTGACCTTTGTAGCCAGACCAGTTACAAGCGCAAGAGACAAAGCTCAGAGAGAAGCTCTCCTATTCCTTATTGCCAACGTGGAGAAAGAACAAGAGATAACCAAGCAGGAGAAGGAGTTAAACCATAGTTTAATCTTATTAAGTTTAATGATTTCAGATTTGTTTTAGTTCGTACCAAAGATAGATAGTTTTAGGATTAAACCAGTAAACCAAAGTTAATTAATATTAGGAAATTAGATTAGACTAAACCAATTTCGATTAGGATTAGGATTAGGGCTTAGACGTTCTCTTATTTATTTGCACACAGCTGTAAGTTGTTCATTAATCAATAAATAGAACTTTCAGCAAGCTGCTTGTCACATCTTATGCTTTCTGTGTTCAGCTAAAGTAAAAATGATCGTCACTCTAGGAAAGGAATCTCCTTATGAAAACCATCTTAGACAATATAGGGTAAAATTGTGTCTTTTAGTAGCAAAACATCTCTGATCCATTCCATAGATCCACAGAAAAGAACCACCGTCCAAACTGAGTGTAGTAGAGTCTGGACAACCTCTATCCACCCACCTTCAAGTGATCTAGGACGCACAGCCTACCCAAGGCCATACCAAGTGGTATCAGATCCATTTGAAGGTTAAGGTTTGCGTGTACATTCAGATCTCAATCCATCAAACACTTTTTATCTTTCTATTTGTTGTAAGTTGAACCGACCAACCCCTGAGAAGGTCTAAGATTTAAAAACAGAAAGAAATTGGCCACATACAAAAAAAAAACAAAGCTGAGGAGAAATCCAGCTAGGGGGTGGTAAAGCGGTTTGGTGCCAAAAATCTTTCAATCTATCTATCTGATTCGCTTAGGAGTTAGTTCTGGACTTTAGGTGCAGAACTGTGTTTTTAACTGAACCTGTGGGAAAGGTAAAGACTTGGAAGCTTAAAACCGAGTGAGAGAGAGAATCTTGTATTTTTTATTCTAATTTGTTTTGACAGGAATCATGTGTGACAGAGAGGAAGCAGGCGAGTCTGTTGTTCAGCAAATCCGACTAGACCAATTGTAGTTTGAACCTATGATAGCTGAGATCACCAGAAGAATGGGAATAAATAACCAAGCTAACAATGACTTACCTGGTATTGAACTTTCTGCAGGTGTAAGTGCTGGACGAGGCAGGATAAGGGAAAGAAGAGGAGCTCATGTACCAGTAGAGAATGAAGAAGAAGAGTCGGCTAATGAGAGTGATGGAGAATCACAAGTTCGCCGACCAAATAGGCACAACAACAGGCGTGCACAAGCTGATGGTAACCTTGGTAGTCTCAAACTGAGGATACCACCATTCCATGGAAAGAACGATCCTGATGCCTACTTGGAGTGGGAGAGGAAGATTGAACTGGTCTTTAGTTGTCAACAATACACTGAGGGAAGAAGCCCAAGTTGGAAGCTACTGAGTTCAGTGGTGATGCTATGAACTGGTGGGAAAAAATCACCACAACCAGAAGACACAATGGAGAACCACAGATCACTTCCTGGTTTGAACTAAAGGCAGTGATGAAGAAGAGGTTTGTACCATCACACTATGGGCAAGACATTCATCAGAAGCTGAGAAGACTTTCTCAAGCTACTAAGAGTGTGGAGGACTATCACCAAGAGGTAGAGACACTCATGATGAAGGCTGAGATGAATGAGGCAGCATAAGCAACCATGGCTAGGTTTAAAGGTGGACTAAAACAGATATACAAGATCAGTTGGAACTACAAGTGTATGAAGACCTCGACGAGCTGTTACACAAAGCCATCCCGATTGAACAGCAAAACAAGATGAGAAGTAACATCAGGAACCAGTTTGGGTCAGCCTCTAAAACGGCCTATTCCAAGGATGAGAAGACACCTGAAAAGCCAAAGGAAGGGGCACACGCGATGACAAGGGAAAGGGACCAGTCACAGCTACTAGGTCCAGAAATGTCAAGTGCTACAAGTCCCAAGGGTTTTGGCATTATGCTAAT